TTTGACAATGGTCATTCTTTGTTCAAAGTGTCAATCGCATCAATGTATGATTTTGGAATTTCGCGTTCGATTACTGAATTTACGCCTCTTTGTTATCTATGAGGTGCGATGAAGGTTATTGTCTTTATATTTATAGATTTCTAGGAGTTTTATTAGTCTATCCTGGAGGTCACATTCAGGAAAACAATTTTTATAGTACATTCTGCGCTGATTAATATGAGCCATATCTGTGATCCGTCCATTCGGTTTATAGTTAGACTGTCAATCGCACAGATGGACCTGTCCAAAGGACATAAGAAACTGTCGTAGCGATTAACAATGTTTAGTAGACGATCGCCAGTGGGACTTCGCCTACTTTCAACGCGGATTTTTGAGAGTTCGTCAGTCATACAAGAGAAAGAAAAATTATCCGATGGATTACTTAAAGCAATATAATCATGACATCATTAACGCTATTTAAAAACAACAGAGAAATACGACAACACTTAATTAGTAAAAGAAGTTTTCAGCTTAAATTCCACTTCGCCGCCGAGACTATCATTGTGGTCAAAACTCAAGCAATGTTCGTTTTTGCAAACTCAAGTTCAAGCGTTATTTCATTTGTTCATTCATTCTAACTTTGGTAACTTCATTTTCTCATTCAAACTGTCATTCGTTCGTTCGTTCGTTCATTCATTCATTCATTCATTCATTCGTTCATTCATTCACTCATTTACTGACTCATTAATTTATTAATTCATTAATTCATCCAATCACTGAAGGGAGGATGCGATGAACAGTGACAAGAAGATGGCTTGGTACTCCGGAAATGCTGGCTTCGATCATGAGAGAGGAAAATAATTTTTTCATAGCGCATTTCCCTTGTGCGAAAAATTCACTCGACATTACATCGAGGTCACCAGTTGAGAAATGAATAGAAAGTGACTGACTAGCAAACTACAGGAATAACATGACGGTTCCGGTGTAGTCATGCAGAAAAGACGAGAGATACGGCCGGACTGTATTATGCCAGCTCTTCTCAGAATTGCAATTCACGATGGTCTATGTATGATAAACAAACAGCACATGTTTAATCCCAAATAAATTCGTTCACTCTTCAATCATGGTATACGACTCATGACCTAAATGAGCATGATTTTTGAACTTTCAGGTAGTACACAAACCCATTTTAAACTACATTTTTCAGTGGAGAAATAAGTCGCTCTTTAAGAGCTTCCAAACGATTTCTGCATCGGTGGGCTATTACAGGATCTTTCAAAAAGTCGAGCAATGTTATTTACCAGATTGTCCCTCGCATCCACAGAAGATAATGTTTTCCTTTGATTCTCAGGTTGCTTCTACCGTCATGTCTTCGTGTGATACTCCAGCGTTTACAGCCGCCGGTGTCATCAACATTGCAATGATCAAGTGACAGCTTTGCGCGTTTCGAAACACGAACTTTCATTGTACGGCATTGTAAGTGAGAGGATACAATTATTAAATCGATTGTCAATTTCTGCGCATAAGCGTTAACATACCATTGCATTGACGCGTGTTTCGATGCTCGAAGAAGGATTGAAGATGGTCCGTTTTTTGCACAGATCCACAACAACCTAATGTAGCCATCGGTGAGATCGTTAGGGCCGCTTTTACTCTTACTAATTAAAACTTGGTCCTATGAGTGGCTGATTTGAAATGCCCATTGAAATCGCTCATCAGATCGGTGGATTCTGCAATTATCAGTTCGTACAGAGCACTTTGTGCTCCCTCCAGGAAAGGCTCATATTTTCTTTCCGAACCGAGCGCAAATACTTGTGACAAGGTCAAAGCTTTTGCCTACTGTAGCTTCAGTCAGATGATTAACACTCTTCCGTGATAAGGCACCATTCAATGATTCTGCCAGCTAGCTTACCTTTTACCAGAACACTAACACCGGCCTGGGGGTGTTCATAGAGCTGACACCTCAGTGGAATAGCGTCTACCTTCATGAGTTTATAATTTCATAGCCTTAGCACTTCGCTGACAAAATTCCAACCAAGTCGAAATGGTACCGTGTGGTCTCATCGACTGGATCCTGCTGATTCTTTCTAAGTGAGAACAGGTTCTAATTTTCGACTTAAGCGTTCAAAACGGTAGCTGCCTTTTTTCTAATCGGTATCTTTGTCCTTTCGATCTTTATAAAATGTCGGCGTACCGTTGCACTGCCAGCTGCATGAAGGTGTGAGGCAGATGTAATAGTCGATATATCACAAACTCTCTCGTGCTCAAACGGCCTGCATGGACCTTAGTAACTCGAGCGATGACTGATCCGGCATCGCATTCGATATGGACTATGCATTAAAAGCAGGCGACTAAGTTTTGCTGGAGACCCAGCCATGGTCTGCAACCCCCCTCCTTTGTCATCGGAGCTTAAGATCGGCAAAGGTAAAGTCTGGCTGTTGATCAAGCATATAAATGTTACTGAGAATCTTTGAATTTTCACATATTCTTCAATGATAAAAAATTGTTTGAGCAATTTGTCCCTTTCGCAAATACCGAAACCTTGTCCAGCCTGAGTTTTAGTTCTTTATTTTTCTGGCATTCTTCCGCTAGTCTATATGATTAAAATTTACCGAAAGATGACTGAGGACAGAGATGCCAAAATAGATGGTTGAATATGATTATCCTCGGTCTTAGCACGATGTTCCTGCCTTATATATGATATTTTTCCGAACGTTGGTAAACATGAGGTTTCTTTGAAAATGTCTTCTTTAGAAACGTTTAATGAGATCGAAGACAATTTGATGAGTATAAACGGTTTGTTCTGAGTTAGAATGAGCCAGTAGTTTACCTTCTGCAATAATTCAAATCACCAGATTCTGTTCAAGTATGGAAACGTACGTTAATAATTTAGTGTGCTTAAACTATCAGAAATATTTTCAAATATTTTACATATAACCTGCAAATCAGTACATTAATCCGACATGGTTAAACCGGTCCTCTGTGGGAAAATGTTATCAGGCTTTGTGTTGCTTTCGTTTAAAGAAATTTTTGCAAATGGGTTATCAAAAATAGTGAAATGGTTTTGGAAAACAAACTTATTAATAAAATGTGTCAATTCAGTTTTTGATAAACGCCACCATAGAATCACACTATCATAGCTTAAATACATATGTTCAAAATTGACCTAAGTTTTATTTATTGCTGTTTACTGTGTTTCGCTGTATCGTTCGGAATGTTGCAACCGGGTGAACAGCACGTAACTGTCTCCCAGAAACTGGAATTTCCGACTAAGCTCGGCTTGTCTTTAGAGTTATTTTGCAATAAAGGATTTTGCATCCGCATCTCGATGACCTGTCGCTATGAGCCATGAATCAATGAAAGAAGTAAAATCCTAATTTAAACAGGCGAAGAACTGATATTTTGGCCCTTGTATTTGATCAACATTCAAGAAAGTTGGTTGTCTCCTTTTCTGACCGTGTAATAAAAGCATTTGATCATATCGTTCAAACTTGTAATGTTTTTGGTTTAGATGGGCAGTTCAGCACCCTCGCTCGGCAAGAAATATTGTTGCTCGCTTTATCAAATAATTTGTCACCGATGGTAAGAATTTGGTTTCTTTTTGGTCGTAGGGTAAATGGTATTTCGGTCTTACATGCTAAAGCAGTCAAAAGAGTTCGCCGTTTAAATCAGCTGGAACAGTACATAAAACTGGCAACCGCTGACCCATACTTTTAACAACATACCTATAATGCATAAGAACAAAAAAGAACGCTTTAATGAGACAAGGATCAAAGAATGACGACGAGTAAACGGATTGACTATAAGTTACTGCAGGTGACTATTCAGAAGCCAAATGTATGGATTGATATAAGAAGATTGATTCGAACAGATTCCACCTTTCTTGTACCTCGTTCTGCAGAGTCCGTCCGATCCATCTGTGGGATCAAATATTCTGTATTCTTCAGTCGTCATGTGGGTGTAATAGACAAATTGTGTCTTGCTGGAATGAGACGTAGAAATGTATTTTGAAAGTGCCTGGTGCAGGGGATGGAGAAGATCGGTTGCAGTTACCAAGCTTTACTATAGATTTTACAGGCTTATCTGCCACGATATTCATATAGCAAAGCTGTCCAGCTCTGCTGGCTATTTTCAAAAGAGATCGAAATTTGGGTAGGTCTAATTTACGAATGGCAAAATAGTATATTGGCGGAGCATGTGTAAGCAGAAAAGGTAGGCAGAATCTTAGAAACGGTTACTTGATTCATTTGGGATTTTTAATGAAGTTATGCGTTTCAGTAAATAACTGCACCGTCATACTTTGATGACTGCTTTTTCTGCCTATGCCCTGAATTGTATACTTTCGTGTATCCTTTGTCTGTGGTTTGACACTACGGAATTCAGCAGCGGAAGATGCTTGGAAGCAACCAGGAAGTTGGTAGCGAAGGTTCGAAGATTTGTTAGATTCGGCAATACTTTTGCCTTAAATTTGTGTACCAGCGTGCGGTGCAGAAAAATGAATATAATATGCAATTTATGGGAGAATAACCAGTATTCGTTTTGCTTCTGGACGATCCTGACTTTACTTTTGGTTAACATCTCAAGTGGCAGCACCGGGAAGAAAGTCTCTGATACACAAACCGAAATGTTCTAAATCAAAGTTATGCAAATCAATTGGTTTAGTCGTAAGGTTTAGGCTTCTGACATTTTAATAGTTATTACTTGCAAACTTTGACGGTTCAGTGTTTGAATGAAAGAAGTCGGTTTTTCACGATACACACACAAGAAAAATATGAAGCAGGAAAAATAGAATCAAAATTATTTCTGTAAAATATTTGCATGACTATCTCAGGTAAACAATATATAAGCTCACTAACAGAATTATTTGGAATGCTTAAACTCATGTAATAGATCTTAAGCTGCATTTGCTAAGGATGGATACTGATGTTTTGATAATAAATTTTCATTAAATTTTTTCCGTCCTTTCATAAACATTAACATGTCTGGATCTGGTGGATGTGCTGTGCGACAGGCGCAATGTTGATCTGTCATGTATAGGGTCAGTTATTAATCATGATGTTCCCCATGTGATCATTGATGATTCTGCAGTACGGAATGCTAAATAATTTAGATGTGGTTTACTAAGTTTTGAGGAAAGTTTCAGTTTTTGTGACCGTAAAATCATATGCCTATAATGCATGTAAAATTATCGCTGCCTCGTACGTGAAAAAGTAAAGATTCATGCAAAACAGTTTGCTTTTGCCTCCGTGGGTGCGTGCATGTTCTCTTGTCTTTCCGCGTGGAATAATGCACTGCTGCATCAGTTGGTTAATTCCTAAACGTGGCAGTACCAAGAGAGGCCTATCTGTAAAATGATTCCTAAGTATGTTTATGCAAATGGATGAGGGCAATGATTTCAACAACCACGCGCTTGATGTGTTCTGCCCGTATCACTGATTTATCATAGACGTCCAGGATGCTCGTAGATGGATTAATGACTGCAGAGTTTCTGGTATTGCGCATCACGCAGATTACCTCGTTAATCTTATTCATGTTAAGACGAAGCTTGTTCGAGACAAGAACCGGGCAAATATCACCTCTGATTTTGCTGTACAGCTCCTGATTTTGAACGACATGTTATCACTGCGACGGTTGCGAATGCATTCAGAAAGGAAAGCGAAATTGGTGCAGCTTAATTAATGGATGGGGCAAATATCGCGAGGTAATTCAAGGATGACCCGGGGCAAATGCTTCAGTGGACTCTACTCCAAACTCGGGTTATCTTCTGCAGAAGCTTAGTCGTTAGCGCAGGGTGAAGGATGTTGCTGTTGCTTCCATAACCTTAGAAGATAATTGGTCATCGAAACTGGCTGATTATGATCATGTATGACTTTTAAATATGCCATTCTCAAACGCTTTCAAATGCCGTTTTCTATGCCTTCTTTAAACTACCGTTTCTTTCGTTGTTTACCACTGACGTGCAGTGTGGTATGCTACGGCTTAGTTATATTATGTTTCTCACATTTGTCTAGACATTTGTGTTTCTGTTCAGCAGACGTTGATAGTAATGGTAACGGTTCGCCTAGAAGACGATACATTTCGCTGCGGCTGTGAGGTACCTATGCCTAAGTGATCACGAACCTATCCCTTTCGTAATACCAACCAGGTTACGCCACGGAAGTCGACTGTGTATTAGAGTCTTTTGTCAATCAATCTTTCTTCAATTATTTTCTTCTTGTAATCACAGTAAATTAGTTAAGACTTCGTAGGAGTTGGAACGTGGCCATCGTCAAAAGAACGGCCATGTTTGGCTCGCACTACCTCGAACCGATCGTGTCGAAGAAGGAACTGGAGAAGCCGCTCCCCGAAGATGACCCTCGTCGCTACATGCCAATCAAACCAATGCCAAATTGGGATATCGCCTACACGTTCAGAGATCCGTTGTTGAAGTAAATGTCACAGTACTGTTGCGGGATTTATGTAACATGTGATTTAAAATGATTGCGGTAAATTTTTTGATTTCCTCTGTATCTTAATTAATGAGTGTATTTGTAGTATTTGTAAAGATGAGTTTTAGGAACTCAACCGCTGCTGACTGAGCTTCTTTCTTCTTCCTCTATACATCGAATATATTTTTTGTCTTTCTCATAAATGTAAATTTAACAGAACTTCATATTTTCGAGAAAGAAGTACATTTATTTATATATAGCAAATAGCGTTCAAAGTTTCGAAAAATTTGTTGAGGTTTTCTAACCAGAATTGTTCCTCTTTCAACGAACAACATTGTGCGAAAGCTTTAAATTTACTAGGCTTAACTTTTTATCATTAACTTTAATGATTGAATAAATTTTCTCCAATTTGCAATCACTTTTGAGGGGATTTAATTATAGAGTAAACTGTTAATGTCGTTTCGTTTTAAAAATTGACACTTTTACATCTGAATGGAATGAAATCTCTCCAAGATTGGAAGGATGACACAAAACCGTTTTTCCGCATATGAATAGCTGTTAGTATATGCTTTTGTGAAGATAATAAAGGCGGTCTACGCGGTTTACATGCAAAACTTAAACAGCTTGCATTGGCAAATAAGGACATAACGTTTAATTTTATTTCTTCCTTTTGCGTACGAAATTAGTACACCTAATTTCAATGCGGTCATACTCTTTTCTAAAGCAAGTTATAATTCGATCACAGAAGACAGCTCTGCCTCAGATGTGATTGTCATCGTCGGCCTGTTTCGATCCATTCATGGATAAAGAAATCTCCCAGACTTTGTTATAAACGTCTATTTGCTGTGGTTCTTATTCATTTTGACCGGTGGAACTTTTTTAGCTCATTTTACCATCGATCCGGTGGTATTTCTACGGGGCCGTTTACTCTAACTTGGAACAGAGTCTAATTTCTGTCTGATTCAGCTATGGTCGATTCTTCTTACAGTGTCTCCTGCCCATTGCCACTTTAACTTCTTCGCACATGTAGTGACGTCACAATCTCCTATTTGTACTCATATCTATTCACATGTCTTTCTATCTCTCTTTATGAATAAGATAGTTTTCAG